CTTCGGCTGTCTCTGAACTCTGTTGCTTCTGAAGATAGATTTGTGCTGCTGGAGACCCAAGTGTCAGAGTAGGCAGGAGCTATTGCATTTGCAGACAGTTGTGCTTCTCTGAGAGATGGAAGGGCACAGTGCAGGGATCTCCTTGGTAGATGCTGAAAGCAGTCACGTGCAGGTCTGGTGGCTTTCCTCTTTTGATTTCAGATGTTGGTGAATATATGTCTCGTTAGATACACACCTGAAAATTCATCCATGAGACACAAACTCACTAGAAACCAAGCTTCCTTTCTTTCACTATTCATGTAAATAGTCTTTGACAGCTGTGAGCAAACATCTGCACAGAGTAAATTAAATGGGTAAAGCTCTGATACCCCTGGTGCAATATTTTAAAGAAAGAATAGGTGTGTTCTGTCTATACTCCTGCAGCTACTGCTGTGGCCATTGGAAATGTCAATTTCCCAGTAATGTCTTTTTTTAGTTCCCAGTTAGTTCATATTCAAAAAGCAAAAAAAATGCTCCAAGTTACTCCAGAGTATTTTATATATTTCTTAATCCCAAACTAACATGCCTTTCTACAATCCATGTCATCATGTACACTGGACATGGACTTCAGGTTTAATCTATACAGTGGGATGATAGATGAGGAGTATGCACATGTGACAGCTATATGTAAACATACTCTTGTTATAGTGTGAATGTGGAGTTTAGGAGAAGTAGTGTTTTGTTAACAATGATTTAAACTGCTTCTTGAAGAAAAAATGCCAGAAGACCTAAAGCAGTTCATTCTGCTTGACAACATATGCATTGTTTCATTAAAGTGCTTTTGCAAAAGCAGCTCTAAAAAAGCTTGCAAACTTGAGTGGTTTAACTTCAATCATCCCAGATGTTGGCTTTCACAGTGAGTTGCTATTCGAGTTAGATACAAGCACCTTTTGGTCAGAGAATGTTCCCTGCAGCAGGGACAAGTTTTTCTTGGAGTAGTGAGAATAGCTTAGCCTATGTGGAATTAAAAAAGAAAAAAAAATGGATTTGGGGCATTAAGTGTAGGAGGACAAAGTTTTATGCTTTGCAGGGTGTTCCTTCCACAGTTGCATTTATAGTTAGTGGAAAAGCTTGCCACCAACAGTGTTCAGAGCCCTGCAAAGCCTGTTGGCTCTGTATTGGCTCTTAATTAATGAGCCACATTCTCACAGCTGCACTGAGACCTTCCGTGATGTGGCTGTACCAGTGGAAAACAATGGAGTTATTTATTTCCAGCTGTATCTGTCACATGAATAAAGGACATGAATTTGTGCCAGAGTGTGGTTGCTGTTGGCTGCAGCACGGAAATTTGGGCGGGTTTGTAGCCAAGAGAGTATCGTTTATAAGATTCGGAGATCTGAAGACAAATGGTCAAGCTGTCTTCAAATGCAATGTGTTGTGTTTTTCTCAAGCACATTGTGTGTACGTAAAGCCCAGTTGGCCAATTCTGGCTGCAACAGCTGCGTAGTTTGAAAAAACAGTTCAAGGCCCCATAGTGGAACACTTGAAATGAAATGGAATATGGCCTTTACTCTGACCTGCGCTAATTAATCTCTTTCAACAAAGCCACCATATACATCTGCTTTTCTACTGAATCCACTATGGTGGCTATGCCTCCTACAATGTGGCTATATTCTTCCTTTTACTATGAGCTAAAAATGCTCAACAGGACATCATCAAGGCTGTGATGCTTTGATTGTGAACTGCTTCTGTCAAGCTTATCTCATTCCTCTAAGGTAACCTGTCAGTTGCCTCTCAGATAGGGCAAGTCTGTAATGTGCACCATGAGGACAGCATCTTCTGAGGAAATATCTTCTGTAACTAATGTGTTAGTGTAACCTAATGTGTTTTACATGCATTATTTTGGTTTTTTACACTTAAAAGTGAATTGTTTATTCTGTCTGCATTAAAAGTATCAGTAATTGTTTTAATACATTTTGAAGTTACCTAAATGGAAGAAAGACAACATACTTTACTAGTGCTCAGACTCATTGCAAGCAGGTCTTTCAGCAAGCTTAGGCTGAACGTGTGCTGACCTCAGGCTGTTTTGTTGTTCTGGACATTCAGTGACACCTATGGAACTGGCTTTGACTGCTGCCAGTGAAAACTAGGCAAAATGTGGGGGCTTGTGTGTTTATTGGATAATCAAACCTCAAGAAATGGGAACTTCCTTGAACCAAACCATGTGGGGAGAAGCTGACATAGTACTATTGATTTTAGCTCTGATCAAGCACTCTTGCCTGGCTCAGGCATCACGGATAAAAGTGAGAATTGTGTCTGCTTGCAAAAGAGCAAGCTAATATGCATGTGCTTGTATTCGCGAGGGTATGTTCATGTGCACGCACGTACACTTAGATATGTAGACAGACTTTTTCTAGAAGCTTGTACACACTTACTGTGGTTCGGCCCGGAGCATGTTCCAGAGGGTTTGCCAGCTCTTGTACATGGATTTGGGTGGAAATGTTTGTGCGTTGTCCTGGCATTGTTATAAGTGCCAGAAAGATCCCATTGTTTGAGTGGAATCTTGGTCAGAGGCAATCCTGAATGGTTGAAGAATGATTTAAAGTGTGTTGCATTTAATTATTACTTTTTCCCCCCCCTATGTCTGTTCAGTGTTTTATGAATGTTTAACAGAGTCTTTGCACAACCTCATTAAGTGCCTTCTTGGGCAGTTCCAGCAGTAAGCATGGCCATGTGTCGTGTACCTGCCAAAATGCTGCTGGACTTATGATGAGCAAGGCGACCAGCTCCTAGCACACTCATCAGAAATACGTATTAAATTTCACAAACGTCTGTTACTGATCAGCAGTATCAGAAGCTGATTCACATGTGCTCCATGCACCTTTTCAAATACTGCCAGAAATGGACTTTTGCAGCTGTTGCCTGCAGCTGTTTGTGTTTTAGCCCTAATTTCATAGTTCTGTACATGCTGGAGAAACCAAGATGAGTTACTGATTACAACCAGGCTCTACAGCCAGAGGGAAGGACACTTATACTATGCCACAGTGTAAATAATCACACAATCTCAAACTTAGAGAAGTCATTCTGTTGCTGGCAGCAACAGATTTTCTTGCCAGAAGGATCTTGTGCTGCTTGGGGCTGAGTCCACAGGAGTCGGAGTCCTATAGTTGGAGCTTGCTGGTTCTTGTTGGGATATCTCCACATTTCCATAGCCCTTGCCTTCTGTCTGGGAGAGGAGACTCTCTTGTTTAGCCTCTCCCTTTTATCTGCTTCCTTCTCTCCCTTTTCCCTCTTTCCCCCACAGTTTTCCTAAGGGAAATAATTGGTTGCTGCTTTGCACTGTTGAAATATGTTCTTGGTTTCTGGCCTGATGTTGTCTTTGAAAGTGATCATACCTTGGAAGCAAAATGCCGTTAGTGTAACACTTGTAGAATGTGATATTGAGTACATGCTAGTACTTCTGTAGGGAACATAACTTTAAAGTTACAAAGTATGGGGGAATTTGAGTAAGAATGTGATCATTTAATGTTGGTTGGGGTGATATGAAACTGATGAACAGTATGCATAGATAGATCTAATAACTATTCAGCATTTGTACTGTCAGTGATTCAATACTGACATAGAGGGAAAACCATCAGGCAACCAATAACAAATACTTGTCAAAGAGTCTTTTTGAGATTTACTCAGTGTTTGTACCATGGGCAAAGGTGATCACAGCATGTCCATGCATTTTTTTTATGTCAATACCCTGCCCTTATTGGCAACCCCTTTGAGACTCCTAGTGATTTCTAATACGAAGACTCAATAGCACCACCGTTGCTTAGATATCTTCTCAAGTCTGTATTGGTAACAGACTTCTGCTGGGGATTGTTTATAACCAGGAATCTGCTCACACTCATGGAGTCATTTGTGCATAAATGGGAACTCTTGTACTGGGAGGTACATGGTCCTCCTGGTTTCATGGCATCATTTCCCTCTTCTTCCTCATCTGATGGATGTCAAAAATCATGGGTTAAATGTGGGACAAATAGGCATGTGAAAAGAAACAAATGGTTTTTTCCTGTTTTGTACCAAGCAGAGATGAGAATGTCCTCCTGGAGCTTGCTGCCAAAGAGGGATAGGAATAAGAAATGAGGACATTTTGCTTTCAGGTCCCCAGCCAGGCTGCAGGAGCAGGAGCAGGACCTTCAAACTCTTAAGACTTCTGGATGGAGTGGGTTTTCCCTTTATACCCATCTGGCATCCAGGACAACTTGTGTGCAGGTGCTCACAGGGGAAAACCATTTAGTCTTTAGACTGCTAACTTTGTCATCACACGCACTTTGTGACATATGCTTTTCTTCTCTCCAGTTGCACATTTTTTTTATCAGGATGAATGGGGGCCCAGATAAGAACTCATAAATCTGCATAGAGGTAACTCAGACACATAAACTGCTGTTGGGAGCATGAGCATGGAGCTGCCTCTTCTGCATCCTTATATTTTTTGCATGAAAGTCCAGCTCTGGAGGAAGTGAGAGCTCCTCAGAGGGCTGAAATGTCACAGTCAGCTCAGAGAATTCACCCTGATATGATCAACTTTGTTACTTGATGAATGGGAAAACCTTGCCACCTGGTGAGAGGATTATCAAGTCTAAGACAGAAACTGAGAAATCCATATAAATAAGGCTTTTTTAAAAAAATTTTTTTTAGTCCCCACCAACTTGAAGTGCCAAATAGATAGTTTCCACTAAGCTCGTAGTAGTACTTGGAAGAATAGGATCATCTCCTAAGATTCACTGCGTATCAGCAAGGACTGAAATATCTTGCCTGTAAGAAATAATCTGCTTTCAAAGCAGCACTATTCTGTAGGTTGTGCTGATTGTTGCTTTGAGCTGCATGACTGTGATTTTTGGCACACAGTGTCACATACCAAATTCCCAAAATAAAATGCTACATGATATTCTAAGAGCTCTTAGGAAGCTTTAAAAAGGGATTTGTCCGCTGAGTGGGTATCTCTTCTGGTGAAGCCAAATGATGCAGCAGGAATGGTTTAAGAGGAGGAAACTTAGTCAGCAGATAATTAGTCTTTTTAAATAAGCACAAGGAGAAAAAAGAAAACCTTCCATTAGTCTCGTATTTGTAAAAGTTGTCAGCAATCCTGCTTTGATTGTAAAGGGTTTACAGCTATATGTTTGAATAGCTAAAACATCTGTTCAGCAATGTTGTGAAATCCTTGTGTTCGGAGCGCCTGATAAGGGGGACTGCTGAGCGATTGGCTCATAGAGGCTCTACAGGCAGCAAGGGCTGTACATACAGTGGTCACTGCTTGCCTTTTCTCCTCCTGGTCAGAGGAAAACGTAGGAGACAGCTACTATTTTACGTGTGATTTTCCTTTGAGAGGGAGAGAGCAGGAAGTGCCTAGGAAATGGTTCATGACAGAAACCTGGAGTTGTAAATAGGAGAGAGGAGGAGGAGGAGAGCTCATGGGTGCAGTTTGTGAACAGTTGAAGTACTGATACCACAGCAGCAGAGGAAAACCAGACTTCTACAAGAGTGAGCACATCCCAAGCCATCCCAATGGAAGGAGAGACAGTACCCGAAGCCAGGAGAGCACCCAGCAAAGCCACACGGATCGCCCTCGGCATCTTTGTGAGTGGCACTGTTGTGCTTGGCACTGCACTTTTCTTGGGTAAGTGAAAAGGTTGAGGTTAACCTGAATGCAACCCTCCCCAGCCTGTCTGCTTGGTGCCGGTGTTTGTGCTCCACAATGTCTTTTAGTGAAAATCTTTGTCTCCTTCTTTTTCCCCTATTTTATATTCATCCTGAAATGGAAATGTGTCAGGAAAGGGATTTGTTGTGGGAGCACTAGACCTGGAAAATGCAACATGAGCTCATGCAACTTTTTGAATACTAAATTTAAATTTGGATACTCAGGTGAATGTGTTCCAACCAGAATTGTGTTCTTATACAGAATGGGGAGAAATGGGTGAGATTATGCATATTATGAACTCACAGATTGTGACTGATGTGGACTGATATTCTCTGCTTCCTGAAAATGAATCCATAGTGCGCACGTTTTATGTAATCTTTTGGGTTTTCCTTCATTTGGTTTTCATTTAGGGCTTGACATTCCTGTAGAAGGCTTCAGTAGTGCATATGCTTGCACATTTTTTAGATCTTTCTGTTCTACGATGAATTACAAACTCATCTTTGCAAAAATCATAAAGTGCATCCAGGATGAAATAAAAATGTTTTGATCAGATTTATAAACTCTAACTAGACACAATAGAGCAGGAATTATATTTTTCCCTCTCCAGAATTTGGTATCATCTGTAGATTGGTTTTGTTGGAATGTCACATGGAAGCATATGCCTACACTTATAAAATGATGCAAAGAAGTATAAACGTACCCAGAACCACTGAGGAGAGAAAACAGTGTTGTATCCTGTAAGAACTTGCAGACAGATCATCTTTTGGAATAATTCAGCCCAACTTTTCATTTCTTTAGACTAACACAGATTTTACTGAACTGGAAGGAATTTAGCCTCTAAACATATCTTGTGCTTCCCTCCAAACCTTAATGATCTTGTGATCTTCTCTGAAAGATCTGCTTCATTTCTAATCGTAATGAAAATTACACCACGCTTTCTATAGAATATTTAAAGAACCGGGCTCACACTCAGTTAGTGTTTTTCTGCTCTAGAGCAAATTATAAAAACATTTGCAGGCAGATAACTTTTGTGTATGTGAGTAATCCCACTCAACTCACCAAAACTCTTTATAAACATGAGAAGGAATGAATCTTCAACTTGTTAGTGCAAAATATTGTTTCTAGATGGAAAATAATGTTTTTCACTTAAAGAATACAATATTAAGCATCAGAGAGTAATGGACAGACTATTTATTTTTCTTTTTTTTTATTTATCACTAAATTGCTTTTAAAACACAATAGATGCTAACAACTGTAGTTGTCAGAGATAGAAGTGCCTAATCCGTAGACCAGCTGTGAAAATTCAAGCAAATATATTAATTCTTAGAGGTAGTTTTCTAAGTGTTCTGAGGCCTATTCTGTAGCCAGGGATTCAGTGTCAAAATTTTCATTGGCATAACTGCTAAGAAAATAAAAATGCCAGCCTCGGGTCAACCAAAATGTTTTTAGGATTTTTTTTTTAAAATGTCTGAGGTTTTCAACAAAAAAAATAAAGGAAAAAGTTAAATTGTTTTGCTCTAACATTTTGTCAATTCAATGTTTTTGTGTTTTATTGTGACACTGTATTTTGTTTATAAGTTCAAGTTTAACTCTTTTTTAGTTTTGTTAAACTGAGAAAGGGAGACCGTTATTTCTGATCCTGTGAAACATTTCAGGGATCTCAAGATGAGCTTTTCCCTTCAGTTTTTATTTAATTTGAGAAACCTGCTGTTTCTGGTAGACCTGAAACAATTTCTCTTCAGATTTCCAGCCTGAGGAATCTAGGAGAATCATGTATTTTTATTTACTGTTACTTGCTCGTATCAGCTGTAGCCATACCGTGACTTCCATCAGGGAGCTACCAGGGGAGTCAGTCACTTGGCATCATGTGTGGTCCTGCCTGTGGTTCTCTGGACGGTGGTGTGGGCTGTGGCAGGACAGGAGTCACCTTCTCCTTGGGAGCTGGGACCAAAGCAAAAGGTAGCAGATTGCTGTCCAGTTCCCTTGGGCATGCAGTCAGGCAGCTTTGAAAGTCAATTTGGTAGACTCTCCTCCTGACTTGGTAGCCCTTTGGCCTTCTTGAATTATAGGAACATCCACATCATTTGCATCTTCATATTCATATGTCTTTTTCCCTTTCAGATTTTTGGGGAGATTTTAATTACAGTTTATATTTGGTTAAGAATCTGGAAACAGGTTTATGAAGGAAGAAGCTGGCACACTGAGTGTTACAAGCACAACTGTAGGTAATGATGTACTGGTTAGTTCTCTTAACAAAAAGGCAAGAGAACAAAACCAGGCAAAGTTTTTCAGTCAAAATTAGCTGTTAATTAAAAGGTAAATGTTACTGCCAAATAATTTTTTTTTTCATTTGATTTTGCTTTTGTTTGTAAGTATCAAAACCACAAGGGCTACTTCAGATTCTTTACTGATTCTTTTTCATTCTCCCTCATTTTCCATCAAGTGCAAAAGAACTAAATGGTGCCTGGGATTTTCCCTCCTTTCTCTGCTTTGTTAAGACAAAAAAATGTAGCAAACTTTCAAGACCGGGATGGGTTCTAAAAGGCAGGGAAAAGGTGAGATGGAGGGAGTGCAGCGCTTAATTAATAGGCACATTATCTGTTATTTTTATTTCATGTGACTCAAAATCATATTATAGAGACCGACACTTCTCTTTTTTCTACTGTTCTTCAATATTCCAATTACAATCTCCATATGTCTCAAAATCTTGTGTATTTCTTGGCTAATTTACAAACGTTATTGAAGTGTTGTGTTTACCAAGTCAATGCAAGCTTTGGTAAAGTTGTACAGAAACAGTTTTACATTCTCAGTTTCTAAGGAAGTTTGAAATGCAGCCATTTCTGTTATTAATCCTCATTAAAGCTATGAGGTTGGAAGAGATGAAGCAGCTTTATTTTCAATTCTAGCTTTAGATTTTTTTATAGTAAAATTTTCCTGTGCTGAAATCCATTTCACATTTTCCTATCCGTTTTGAACAATATATAACTACAGGAGAAATTGCTTTATAACTATCAGCACTGGTAAAGCTATGATACCTTATTATATTCCACTGTTGGGTTTTTTGTTTGTTTGGTTTTATTTTTTATTTTTGCCATGGACTGAGTTATTAAGATAATGAATATAATGAGATGTTTCTTTATGTCTGCTGAGCACACCTACTGAGTCTTAATTCATCCACCCCTTGGGACTCTGCCATCCTCATCCCATGTATCAATTATCTGCATATTTACTTCATGACAGCAATGTTTGAAATTAGCAATTTCTATGCTTAAGTTTCAGTGGCAGCGGTAATACACATAAAAAGATGAGCAAAATTAACTAACAATTTCATAGTTCTTGTCAGCAAGGTTTTTGGAAGCAAACGCAATTACAATACGTTTGGGAGCCACTTTAGGCTGAAACTGCGTCGTGCCTTATAAACCACAGCTATCCCTGCACCGTTGCTCTCTGGCTTATTCCAGGATGGAATAACGGGACCCTGAGAGGGTCCCATCATGGCTGGGTCATGCTGATGGGTGCAAGGAGCTCAGTGCTGCTGCAGGAGGAGATCCAGCAGGGCAGCGCAGCCCCGCAGCTTGGGAGGAGCTGTGGAAACCTGGCAGAAGGTGTCTAGAGAGCCCCCTGTTGCATTGCCAGCTGTGAAAGGTGCATCTCTGGAGGATGATACCAACAATGCTTAATTGTTTGTATTGTGGTGGTGCTCACTGTCAGTAAGACTGAAGACTTGTTACTCCAGGCACTGTGCAAATGTACACTGAAACAGCCCTTGCTCCATGCTGCCTACGAGCAAAGACAGGGGAAAGAGAAAGCAGGCACAGGAGGGGAAAATTATTTCTTATGAGCTGCAGTATTTACTTAATATACTTTCTAACCGTTTTAAATCAATGTAGTCAGAGACGCATTAGGGCCAGAGCTTGCACTGACATTTGAATGATCGAGTACACAACATTTGGCGGCAATGGTCAAAATTCATTACAAATGGTCTCACTATGGTTTTCCATTTTGCAGTTAGCCAAGGTTTTATAAAGTTTCATCCGAAACAACAGTACTGTTTGACCTCAGAATGCATTGAAGCGGGTAAGCAACAATTTTATTCTCTCTATTATGTCATGATTATAGTATGTTAAGGAGATATTTGTACTTTTTAATTTTTTTCCATGATAAATTTTACTCAGAAAGCTTCATTAATAATGGGGAAAAAGAAAACACCTAAACTTTTTTAGAAGTCACTGTTTAAGTTTCTACAGATCTGTTTATTTTCTACAATTAAAATTCATGTTTTAAATTGTTTTAACCCTGTTTCACCCACGTTAATTCAAAGTTTCCCATAGGGTTTATTTATTTTTTTAATAGGAAAGAAAATGTTGGGTGAGTTGACCTTGAGGTGTATTTTGTTATATCCTTCCCAGTAGTAAGTAAATGAGCAAATGATTTATTAAGCAGAGAGATGCTTTAGGGCCAGACTTGCACAACTGTGGTGATTACAACTCAAAATCTGCAACTACTTCTGTATTGGCAGGCTCTTTCCCCCACGCAGATACATGTGGTAATCCTTACAGAGCTGGGACATCTAGTATTTAAAGCATGTAAAGGGACTGGACTTTGTAGGACCCGAGAGCCACACATTTTGCGCTGCTCAGTTTTAACAGTTTTGCTCGCACTACATCAGTGAGTTTTATCACTGAGGGTAATGAGAGCAAAGATCAAACAATAGTTACCACATCTGGAAATCTGCCTCTAGAGCTTTTTTATTTGAAACAAAATGGATATTGTGTGAACTTGTAAGATTATTTATTTCCATTCTGAACCATATTAAGCTGATACTGTGAGGTGTTTGACTTGTGTTTGAAATCCTGACAAATTCTGTGGGGATCCTTAAATTGAAAAATTTGCTGATCTCAACATTACCAGGACGTTTCTTGCCATTCTGCTTCTGCTCTGTGCTGCACTGACAGTGCTCTTGGCCCCTTGGGGCACCACCCTTTGGAGCTGATTCTTGAATGTGTAAGGTGGGATAACTAATCAAAACACCAGCCCCACAAAACCACCACAACAAAAGTGTAGGGGCTTCAGCTTCAGAACAAAAAAAGTCACTTAAGTTTGAATCTGAATTGGATTTCTTCTCAAGTGCACAAAAAATAACACAGATTTTTTGGCAAACTCAGCAGAAGCTGGGATTTTGCACCTAGGCAAATTTGGACACCTACATGACCTGACTTTTTATCTCGGAGTGCTCTGTGTAGTGACTACATAGGGTCTTGAGACATGAACTCTGCCTTGCTGAACAGCTTTTCAGGAGTGATAGAAAATTGCCAAGGACCAAAATGTCTTCAATGTAGTAATTTTGTCATTAGTCAGTTTCTAATGTGAAAGAGAGAATTACAGCTGAGACATCGGAGGAGTTACTCTTAAGTGGATGAAGAAGAGTTACTGGATGCTAGAAGTAGTACCATAAATTCTGTAAAAGTTAGCAGATTTCCTGTAAGGATTTTTAATCAGTTATTTGGATAAGCCTCAACGCACGTGGTCATTTAGCCATAAAATGTCCAGTATCCACATATTCCGTGTTACTCGACCCATGTAGATTTATGCCATAATCACTATAATGCATGAAAGGGATAATGGTTATAAACTAAAGGAGTGTAGATTTAGACTAGATATAAAGAAGAAATTTTTTACAATGAGGGTGGTAAAGCACTCAAACAGGTTGCCTAGAGAGATGATAGATGCCCCCTCCCTGGAAACTTTCAAGGCCAAGCTGAATGGGACTCTGAGCAACCTGATCTAGTTGAAGATGTTCCTTCTTGTTGCAGAGGGGTTGGATTAGATGACCTTTAAAGGTCCCTTCCTACCCAAACCATTGTATGATTCTGTGATTAGATACTTAAAAGTTATTAAGTCTCTGGCTTGTCAGACTGATCTCTCTCTTACCAGTCTAACCTGCAATAGTAACTGGTGGGGATGCAGTCACAAAATGTTGCTGAAAATATTACAATTATCTTTTCCAATGAATGGTAGATCAGAACTTGATGTGTTTTCTTGTGCAGCTATTCAGATAAAGGTCAACAGTGCATAGTATTTGGAATGCTAATTACAATCTGCTTGATATATATTGCTACTGAATTCCTCGGGAAATTAATTCTATCATGGTGACAATGGAGAGCCTGTCATCAGGTGTCTGTCTCCAGCAGTTGGTATTCCTGTAGTGCTAGGTTCAGTGGTCATTGCTGTACGGCACTCAAGAACATTCATTGCAGATATTTTGTCTTTTTGCTTCTCATGTAAGTACTGTTAAATACTAGAGAAACTGGGTGGTATTCTTGCTGTTCTTTAAAAAATGACAGAGATGAGGGCACACATCTGTCTTAGAACAGTAAGGCCTAACTTGCAAGTGAGGTCAGTATCACATTCCAGACTGGTAAATGACAATCATAATTTCTGGACTGTGGCCTCGTGTAATTCTCTGTTTAGGAAAAAGGGTTCCACAAATTCTATGTGGTGTCTTTTTTACAGCTGCTGGCATCCTAAGCAAGATAAATCAATCTGTAGATCCATGTGAGAACTTTTATCGATTTGCATGTGATGGCTGGATATATAATCACCCTATTCCTGAAGACATGTCAAACTATGGTGTTTATCCTTGGCTGCGACACAATGTGGACCTCAAACTAAAGGGTGAGTCATTTCTGAAAGTGTTTGGTTGGCTTGTCATGGTAGCTTGTTAATTGGCTGTTTTTAAAATGAATAAAGACTCCAGTACTTCCTTCTGATCATTGGATAATATCCAGCAACCCAACTTGATGTTCTCTTTTAAGTATATCTTTGGGGTTTTTAACTGAAAAAAACATTGCATTATAACAGAATTAAAACAAGTGCATTATAACAGAAACAGAAACTGAGGAAGAATACCACTGCTGGAAACTCTACCAGTTAAGAATGGAGGGTCAAAAAGAAACTCCTTATACTAAAGGAAAAGGCGAGGGGATTTGAACACTTTCCCCCTTGCAGTAGATGGATAGACCCGAGTGCAGGAGCATAGCACGCACATTTAAGAATGCCCTGGATCCAGCCAAACATCAGTTTAACACAGCACTCTGTCTCTAACAGTGGCCAATAGCAGGAAAAGAATATAATAAGGCAAAACCAGAGTGATATTTTCCAGTATACTTACCCAGCTCTTGGCAGGAGGCATTTTACAGACTTCCGGAGATGGAGGTTGTTTGAGTATTGTGTTTCCTTCACGTTGCCTGTTCAGTTGCAATTGAAGTACCTGAGCTATCATCAGTGAAACAGAAGACTTCTTAAGAAAGTGTGTCTGGAGGAAAAAATAGCCCCAGGGTGGAAATGTGTAGGAAGGGAGGTATTTTAATGTGTGTGACTTTGCACTATACTCTGCAGCAAGGCCACCTCATCAGGAAGCTGTGCAGACCAAGTGGAGAGAAAGGGTGGTGATTATTGTTAGGTAGGAAAACCCTGCCAGATTAGAAGAATCTTCACTAAAAGCAAGTCATGAAAAGAAGGGAGATGTACAAGATTTATTATTGTTGTGGGTGTGCTTGAGCATTGCACACCTTGAGCATGTTATTGACCTATTAGTTGACATAAGAGCCTGCTTTGAACTCACCACAGAACAGAGGTCAGGTTTAGGATGTTGGGCTTAAATATCACATTTCTTTTTCTCTTAGATTTTGTACATATGTGCATGTGTAGGCATCAAAGCCCTTCTCCACTTGCTTTTTTCAGTCATATTGTATTCAATTTTCGCATCGTCAAGTATTTTAAAAGCTGCATTTGGTTTCAGAATATGAATTTGGAATTTCAGCATAGGATAAGATCCGATGACTGCTGTTTTAAGTATGCTGAAGATGTCACAACCAAAGGAAAAGAATATTGCCAGAGCCTGTTTTAAGTTATGCTTTGCATTCTAATTGTTCTGTTGCCAGAATTGGGCTGTATTAGATAACTGCACATCCTGCATGAACCACAGCCACAAAGAAGCCAGTCCTAATTGAATATAGAGTAGCAAGCTGTGACTCTCATCCTTAATTTCCTCTTTTTACACACCCTAATCAAGGACATGATGCTAAGCCACATTTTTATATGGTTTTCTTACTGCAGTCCCTTTAGAAGTTGGTAATCCACAGCTAGGAAAATGCAAGACAAAGAAAAAAACATTTAAGTGAGAAGTATTTGCTTAATGGAAACTCCATATCAAAAAAGGGTGTAATGAAGTGCCTGATAACTACTTCAATAGGAGACCTAAACTGCTCCTTGGCATGGTACAGAGACAAAGATTTGAAATGTTGGGTGGTGTAGAGGAGTTGATTTAATATAACATTTGTCATCTCCTCATTAAATTTTTACTTAATAAACTTTCCAAAATATATTATTGGTTATTAAAAAAAGAAGGGAAAAGAAAAAATGAACTGTTGAATGTCAGTGTTAGTAGCTGAAATAACAAGGTGTAACTTCAGCCTCTGTGTATTTTAACTCGAGTTACTGCAATAAATTAGCTTGACACTGTGTTATTCATTTGTGGATGACCACAACCTTGCTATCAAAAGTTTTAGCAAGATGAAGAGCTCTTGCTTAGAAAAACATATCTATGACTGCCCAGACCTTGAAAGACAATATAATCTCTCCTTCCTAAAGAACTCTTATTGGAACTTTGTACTTCATTGTAAATGTCCCTGTTTGACACTCAGTCGATTAAAAAAGCCCCAGTCTTTTAAGAGCTGATTATTATGCAAGTTCTATGTTCTGAAATATTTGTCATATTAAAGAAAACTATTAATCTTAAAGTGATAACATGGCTTGCCAGAAAGTCACATTTTTCATATTTGATATTCTTTGATGGTGTGATACAGGCGGAAGACTTTATTCAGGCAATATATTAAAAAATTATGTTACTTAAAATAAATTATTTGAACATCTAATCTGTTTTCTGATCCCTCAGTGTTCCTGAGCCTTAGGCAGAAAGGGAGTTTGGGTATGGCCTTGGTTACACAAGGGTATCTTCAATCTTCTGGAAGCTTCATTTTTTGTTCAGGGGAAATTTCTACAGCAGGAGATCTTCCAACTGATAATGGGTAGCCAGTATAAGAATTAGTTTTGCCTTACCAGAAAGTGGTAGTATAAACTGTATAATGTACCAAACCTTTTTTTTTTTTTTCTTTTTTGTTGAGATTGCAGACACACAAGAGCATACGGCTTTGCAGGTGTCAGCTTCAAGAAAGAGTAGAACATTTTCTGTATCAGTGAAGGGTTTTGCTGCTTTAATGGGAAATTCCAAAGACAGGAATGCAATGGTTCAATGGAGAATAGCTGAGGACTACTGGGTGGTAGCTTTTTGGCCTGCATATCTGGTTGATTGAATGAACAGGACAAGAAACATTTATTTCAGGCTACTTCTAGATTTTCAAAATAATGTTATAGTTAAAAATCCTAGTTTTTGTAAGATTTGGGTTTATAATGCTGTAGAAATAAATATATGTGTGTGTGTGTGTGTGTTCATGTATAATGCTCCCATGGCTTTCTCTAGCTGCCTTAGGATGGATTCAAACTAAAATTATATAATTTCCCCTTTAATTTCTTTTCCATCCTTTGTTTGAGGGTCACTTGGATTTCTTTATTTGCTCTCAGAGGAATCCACAAACCACATGTGTAACTCACTTTGATCTTCTAGCTATACAAAATGGGAAAAATCCTAGCCTGAAAGCAGTGGTAGGTCTTTCCTTGGACATCAGCAACAGCAGGATTTCATGCACTGTGGAAGAATGTACAGAAGACAATTGTAGATAGCAAAAGATATGTCAAAAGCAGAGACTTGTGGTTTTGATTATGACCCTAATCCATGTAATGGGCATCTAATATTTAGGTTAAAATTTCTGGGTTCCTTATAGAGCTGCTTTTCTGGGGAGGACTGAGGTGCTCCATCTTCCAGTTAACCATTCCTGGCTGGACAGACAGTCCCTGACTTTAAGCCAGCCTTTCTTTTGCAGATACACTGCAGACATGTTAAAAAGTGCCTTTTTCTGGTTAAGAACAAACACTTCTAGTGCCAGTGGGCCTCTGAGGAAGCTCTTGGAGTCCTTCAAAGTGGAAAAAATTGTTTGACTGTGGGACTTGCTGTATGTAAAAAAAGCTATGTCAAACTGCAACTGTTTCAGCCTTATGTCAGGTCAAGATTGCAATGTCTCTGTGAGTTAATAAATTGTTTTTCACTTACCATAAATTTCCTGCAAAGCTATTTGTGTTCCTGCTGAATTTTTCTATTTTGATTGGTGACCTTAATTAAGAGTTTAGGAGCACTATTGTCCTGCCATTGAAATGCAAGTGGCTTTTTGGGCATAATTCAAAACTGGAAGTCTGAGGCAAGTAAATCAGTACCTATTACCTGTGGTGAATGTTGATCATGAACCAAGTGGTTTCTTTTCCTTTCTCTGAAGTCTGCAGAACAATGATATACAGCCGGGGTGTTGTGCTTTTTTTTTTTTTTTTTTTTTTTTTTTTTTTTTTTTTTTTTTTCTTCCCAAGTGACTGTGCAGGAAGCAATAAATCAAAAAAACCCCAAACTACACAAACTTTCTTAAATCTCAGCACTGCAAAGGAGCTGATTTAAATTACATGAATAATTTGTGAACATGTCTTCCAGGCCTTTTAAATTTAATTTATGTCTGTGGAAACCAGTTTACAGATTAAGTCTGTACTGATCCTGGCCCAGTGAGACACCTACTTCAAACTAATTTGCTGCACTAAGCTTTCTAGTGTGGCTATTTTCTGAATGTCAGTCAATTCAAAGTGAGGAATTTCCAACGTGGCAAAGAGAAAGAGATGGAGGCTTTTTAAGAGTATGTGGTGTGTGGGTTTTTAAAGAACACGAGACAGACAGCAAACAAAATAATTTGGCAGCATAGGCAACTTTTCCCAAGACAATCTGCAATAGTTTTCTTTAGAAAATAAACTCTTTTTAAAGCAAAACCAGTAAGGTAAAAATAGCTCAGTATGGAAATTTATACTATTTGACCATACAATAGTCCTTTCAGACAAATCCTAGAAGCTGGTGTTGAGCGGCTGCTATTGTGCACAGAGGACCCTTAGCCACAGGTCTCTTTGGGGCTGCTTTCTCTACTCCCACACTTCAATATGTGTTCAGTTGGGACTCCTGGGATGGCTTGAATGTGGTGATGAAATCTGTAATGTAGCTGCTGACACTCATCTCTAGGTTTCTGTATTAGCTGATCAGCTTTTGTGATTTCTTCCTTCAGAGGTAGGTGATTAAGAGCTGTCCTAAGTAAGAGGGAAAATACCAGTAGCAATTAGAAAAAAAACACCTCAGAGGGTATTTCTGTTATTGCCTCCAGTATCTTGTTGGAAAACTGCTCTTGGATAATAAGATAGAAGCAAATAACAACAGTGCTTTACACTGTTTTGCTTGATCCTTTCTACTACAAATAGATCTCTTTTCAATGGTACAGATACTTTATTTCAGTGGTCCAGATCTTTCCTATAATGGCTTATTCATCTAAATGTAAGAAAAAACATAAGTGGCATGTCAGGCAAATCACTCTGAGCAACTAGTTAATAATAGTGAATTTTTGGTAATATGAAGTACCTGAGTCAAAGGTGGAGAAGCGAGGACTTTTTCCAGGCCTTCTGGCTGCTTGAAATGAAAG